CAGAGAAACATCCCCCATCAGCTAGACAAGCCAGCAGTTTGTTAACTACAGAAGACTTTTTGTACAGAACCTTTTAAACCTGAGATTCCAATTTCATCTGGTGTAGCTCAGCTCTTTCTATTTAAACAATAAAATCTTATTCAGGCCATTAATCATGAGTAGGTGTCTGTAATGGGACCATGAAACCCAACATCCTTGCCACATCTGCACAGATATGATGACTTAAAATTAGGGCTTTGCTTTGGTGACCCCTTCACTGGAGTTTCACATTCCTACTACTGTGCGCAACATGGCACTATCAAGCTTGATACTTTCTACCCCAAAGCTCTCTGCATTTTAGAAGTAGCATTATGCCCAAAACATTTAAAACTATTTAAAGCCCTCACAACACATGATATTAATGCAAGAGATCAGGGGGGTTTACTGTAGTAGTACCAAGCACTGATGGTACTCAGCACTGAAAAAATACCAAACACACACACATGCCAACAGGCTTTTAACTCTTAACACCACTGCCAGCAGTGCTAAGAAACAACAAAACATTGGGTATCTGCCAGTGGTTTGGCTGCTAGTTATGGAAACCAGTACAAGTTGAATAAACTGTGACATCAGTGGCTCAGAGTTAGAAAACTTTTGGGCATCTAAACCCAACTGAATTCTTCTGTGACTTTCTTTGCCAGTCACTGGTGGAGCTTCCCCATGCTATGCTTTGGGTTAGTCCCAAATCCCCACCAGGTAACAACAGGCCATGTGGACTCGGCGAGCAGGAAGGAGCATTCAACATTTGAGGTGTGACCTCAAGGATAGGTAAATGGCTTTGTGAGATTGCCTGACCAAACTGGGTTGCAGCTACCTTAGTTATAAAAGAATTGCAGTGTGGAACAAACCAAGTATTACACTCGTTTGTCACAACTTCAAAGGCGATACAGTTGTCCTGTTTTTCCATCACAATCTGTTCTGGCTTCCAGTGCTTCTCATCTGTAGTTACCAGACTAATACACACAGTACAGGTGTTCACAACAGTCTTTCACACTGAACTTTACATCACCTCCAAACTGGAGGTACCTAGCTGTGGCTGGGAAGAAAAAGGGGTTTCTGTTAAAAAAAGCACATAGATGCTCCTGACTAGCAAGCATCATCAGTCCTGCATGCCTGCTACCTTAATTTTAAAACTCTCAGAGAGGAAATCATAGAGAGAACAAGTGCCACAGAGAAAATGAGACTTCAGTGAGCAATTCTGCTAACAGGCACAAGACTCGCTTGGCATGCAAAGTAACATGAGAGATTCCTGCTTAGAGGAGATTTCACTAAAAGTACTGGGTTCCTCTCTCTTTAGCCTCTCTGGAATAATTGTGCCACACCACCATCAGACACCTTACAGACGGCTGCTCTTTCAGACCTGGAAAACGCAGATGTGAGAGCCCATCCAGATCGTTCATGCCCTGTGTTTTCAGTCTTTCTGTTTGTCTGCTTTTGCCCTTCTGGAGCACCTCCTGTGCTGCTGTTTTCTCACTGCCTTGACCCTGTTCTCTGCAACTGCTTCTGCTAGAAAACGTTGGGAGCTTCTCAGATCAGATATGGCACACAGAAAGTCTACTGCCTCCAATGTATGAAGTACAAGGCAGTCCTGTCATCTGGAGAGTACAGATAAGCCTATGAATTCATTTCACAGAAGGCTATTTTGCCCTTTGACTTATGAAAGGACTGAAACATCTTTGAAGACATGGGAATAATCACTCACATGGAAGAGCTAAAACTACACTGGCAGTTAATGGCCAGTCATATCTTTTTGACTGTACGTCACCTTTCATTTCCTTAAAGGACATACAGGCAGGAGCCAAATGTGTTGAGGGGGATAATACCACAAAAATACAAATTAACACTGATGTCAGGTTTAACAAATTAGCAAGTGAGGGAAGATGCCAATAATTGGCTAAAACATTCCCTGTTTCATGGTGAGGAACTAGAGCAAGGTCAAAACAGCCAACAGCTCAGAAGGATTATGAGTTTGCTTGGACAAGTATACTCTTTGCAGAATGGCACTGACAAGGATCACATGGTGTTGATAGACTGAGGTAGCTCATTGCCAAATCCCTGGCATTTGCTTGCCCCTGGGAATTGCCCACTTTGCTCAAGAGAATATGGAATGAAAAAAAGGCCTCTTCCTAGCATTTCTTATCTGAACACTGGATAAAGCCCACAACAGTCAGCAAAGAAGTACCATGAAGTCTTGGGAATATACCTGCCTAGAGCACAGGTTAGATCTTTTGGGCTGAAGATCTACTGCGGTATTAAGTCTATCCTTAAAACAAGCCCGAGTCCATAATTTTCAAGGGCTTATAAATCCCCTTAGCATGTAATAATGTTAATATTAATGCTTATAAATAAAAAAAAAGCAGAAAGCACTGACAGTTTGAGAATGGTAATAGATATTAATGATTAACAAGGTAATAGAGCCTTCAACAGGTTTAGGAAAAGAAAAAGCAAAATATGTTTCTGTGATTACTTGGCTACTTTTAAGGATATTACAAATAAATTAAAAAAAAAATCATCTAACACATGAACAAGGTGCCAGAACAGTAAGTTTTGACACAGGCTCAAGTAAGAGTCTACACGTTGATTAAGTTCATGTGAATTGGAATCAACTCAGAGCAGTTGGAAATTCCTCTTCAGACAGAGCTATGTCAGAGCCATGCCTGCCCAGTTAATAGGAGATTCTCAGATACCACAGAGGAGTATGAGCAGCCACATAAGAATCTGGCCACAGGCTAATATCTGGCATGGAAATCTTCACTAAAAAAAAAAAAGTTTGATCCTCAAAACTGTAAAAACAAATGTCCCCAGTAAAGAAACACCAGTCTCTTGAAACTACTGAAATAACCTGAAGGAGTGAATGACCAGTCCCAAATGCAGCATTTGTGTGTGGATACACGAGCTAAATGTCATCATTAAATAGTATAATATGGTATGCTTCAGAAAACAGGGCTATAAAGGAAGGTGGATTTTGTGTAGAAAATATTTATAGCAAGAAGAGAGACGGGGAATTAAGTGAACACATGTAAAACCAAAAGGTACACTGGGGAGGAAAAAGGGAGACTGCAACAGCCAAAAGGCAAGCTCGATCCCCCACCCTGTGCTGAACAGCTAACGCAGAATAAGAACAACAAATTCCGTTACCCCCACAAAAGCCCGACCCTGGCCTTGACCTTGGCCACCTACCATTACCTCTCATGTACCCCCCATGTGGGATGGCTACTGACGGAGAGGAAATCACTGTTCAACACAGGGACCTGTGCCCACTGGCATAATCAGAAGTGGAGGCAAGAGGTCTCCATCCCTCTCGTCCTTTTGCAGAGAATGGCGGGGGGGAGACACACGGTCCCTCACCACAGCCGCACCTCCGCCCTTCCTCTGCGCTCACCAGGGCCTACTACTGCTTCGCTTTGTTTGATGTTCTCCCTATGTTGAGGGGAAGCATGAAGTGAGAAAAGAAAAAAGAGAAATCTGTCTTTCAGCTTCCTAATCATCTTCCTCAAAATGCTCTATGCATCAGCACTGATTTCATTATCTGCCTGCTGGTAGAGATTTTATTTAAAGAATAACACACGAGGAAGAAAGGATTTAACCTGACCTCCCTGAACTGCTGGGGGATGAATACTATACAGAGCTAACAGTGCAAAGCTTGCTTCCTTTCTCAGACTAACCCAAAGACTACGCAAAATTTCCCTCTATCTAAGCCCCAGTTTTAAATTGGGCTATCAAAGGCTTTTCTTTTTTAGGAGCCTGGATTGATGCAATCGGTTTATCATCAATGAATGAAGATTGACAACATGAACCACCACAAAGCATTGCTGTGGGTACAGTGACTCTCAGAGGCAGAACAATACAGAAAAATTGAGTAAGTTAAAACCAGTGTTCTTCTATTCAGTTATATCAAGAAGAGAACAAAAAGCAGTAGGGTCCGCATTTTTTTTCCTGCTGCATTCAAGCTGAGACTTTGGGGTGTTATATGTTACAGATGAAACAGTATGATTAATGAAAAGGTTAGTGGGAAGCATGGAAGGGTGTCATTAAGTAATGAGTAAAGATGTCATGGGCAGAAAGAGAAATTAAACGCAGAGCAAGATACAGTCAGGATCTTCTAACAGGCACAAGCATGAGATCCCATCCAGTGGAAGGAGCAATCCAAGATGACTCGAATGAGGTCTGTCCTTGACTGCATACACAATTTCTTCTCTGGAAGGTCCAGAGGTGCTGACGCAGCTGTGTCTGGGATGATCACCCGAGCTTGCACGGCAGCTCTGTTTTTTGTCCACTGTGGGTTCCTACAGAGTCATTTACCTCTCTAAGAATGATTAACATATATAATCCTAATATTTTATTTTGGGAAATAGGCCATCTCTTCCCTCCCCGAGTCCACGCACAGTAGCCTATTTTCAAAAAGCCACATTCACACATTTTGCAATCCAAGCAGGACATGAAGAGAGCAAACTAGGCCAAATAAAGGAAAGGAAACCTAACCCTATCACCCTCTTTATTAAAAATCGTCTCTTTTCAAAATCTAAAACAACTGAATCCAATTACCATAGAAAATTTCTACCAGCTGTTGCCCAAGTTCTAATTCCCTGATATCACAGAAAATTGAGCTACGACAAAACAGTTTTCCGGTAACTAAATTTGCTGCCAAAAACTTCCTGCTCCATTCGAAACACCAGCATCCTCACAGTCTCCAACCACACTTGCTGAGAGTGCTGCATATTTTCATCATTCATACCCATCCTTCTGCATTTGCTGGACCAAGATGTCTGTGTGTGGTGCTACAATTGGCTAAAGAAAGCCTTTCTTCTCCTCCTCTCACCCATGTTTGAACAAAGAACATGAGAATTCCGCCTTCACCCCTCATACTGCTGCCCTATCATCAGTCCCAGTGAGCACAAGGCACTCCTGAACACCTCTGTTCCAACGGCCAACATGAAAAAAGGTCATAGTGCCTGGCTTACCTGATCCTCAGAGAGCTGAGAGATGTGATTCACCGCAGCGTAGGACTCTATCTTCGGGTTGAAGTGATTGATGATGGCTCTGAAAGACAAGGAGGGAAATTTCCAGAGGTCTTAGGAACAGCCCAGGGATGCAGCAGAAACACCCCGCCAGCCCGAGTCAGTGCATGTGGAGCCACAGTCCTGCGAGAAGTAGTTCCTCCCTCACCGTCCCACACTGCTTGCTCTGCCAAAGGCACGCTCCCTGCTGAGAGGCCAATGCAGATTCAGTCACAGGCTCACTGGAAACTGCAAGCACAGGCACTGCCCTACACGTGGGTGCCTTTGTCCCAGCAGATACAGGGCTGTGCTCGCTGCTCTGGCAGAGGGAACTGCTGCCTTGCTGGGAATAGGCTGCAAATTGCCAGTGTTCCAACAGACACATAGCAAATCTGGCCATTGCTGCCTCATCCTGCTTAGGAACAGTGTCTCCTCATCCCTTCCAAAACTGGTATCACACAACATTTTGCTCTAGGGAACTCTGTTGCCCAATGCCTTGAAGCTGATGGGTTTATTGCTTTAGATCTTCACTACGTTTAAAATATTGTAGCTGGCTCTTACTTGTAGTCATCCATCACTGCAGCCACTACTTTGAATTTTTCCCATAATGATTTTAGTCCTCAGCCCCAATTTAGATCGTTAGTGATAACTTATGACAGCATCCCAAATACAGCAGCAGAATCACTGATCACTCCTCTGTCTCGTTTCTCTCACTGCCTGCACCAACATAATCCTCTTCCATTCTAAATGGATCTAGAACCAGGTGTGAAAAATCTAAAATTGAAAGTAAAATAGTAATTGGGGAAAAAAAACAAATCTGCAGCTGGACTATTTCCTCAGCTTCTCTGCTTGTCAAGTGCAACTCCGAAGACAAACTGCAAGACAGTAAAGTCTCCCCAGGGTAGGTTTTGCAAGTGGTCTAGTTGGGATATTACCCATGAGACCCACTGCTGAGGTAAATGCTCATCATGGGAACAGCCCATGTCAGTGCTCAGCACAGATGTGCACTGACAGTGCCAGGAGAATACTTGCTTGGCCAAATTGCACCACAGCAGCAGTCAGGGCTTTCACTCTCATATTCATCAGCATGAAAATTCATTCCATCTCTCCCTCTGTTGCACTTTAATGTGTTCCCTCCTCCCCACACCCCTCCCTGCAGAAGGGCTTTCAGCTGCTTTCTCCAGACCTTATCACAGCTAAGAGCTGGTGCTGGGAATAAGTGATATTCAATGGTGCTAATCAGATCTGGTGGAAAGAAAATCCACCTGGAAGCACCCTTACTTCTTGAAGTACACAGATAAACCATGTGGAAGGAGTGGGGGGAAAAAAACCCAAACCCAACACACTAACAAAACCCCAAACCGAATCTGCAGGTTTGACAGCAACATTCCCAGCAATCCACCTCATTGACACTCCAGATACAGCCCCTGCACAGGGGCAGCCTCTCCAGCAACTGCTCCTACAGCAGTGGGGCGTACTTAGCAGAGGGAGCTTCTCAGCCTCACCTGCCTTGACAATTACATCAGTGAAGTGAACTCACCCAGGCCCCTGCCAGGCTTCCCTACCCCTCCTCCCTCCAGAGGGGGGCAAGCAGGCAGGCAGGTAGAGAGATGTCCAGGTTCCCCATTTCAATTGGGCCAGAGAAGCAAGTCGCAATCACACTCCCCATTACCCAGCCTCTCAAACACTGTGGCTTTCAAGTTGCATGTTTCATGCCTGGCTGGAGTTGTATTTACACTCCTACAGGACACACTACAAGCTATGGAAAGGGAACACAGACTTACAACAACTTAACTTCTGGCTCGACAGAAGGTTTGGCAGCTTGGAGGGGTTCAGTGCACTCACATGGTTCCAACACATACCAGGGAATAGATTTAGCATTTATTTGTATCCACTGCTGTGAAGCACTTCAACATGGGCCGCCTGCTCACAAATCCCTGCTCGGATCTGAGCCAGTGGAGCGGCACCTGCAATCACAGCTGGGATTCACCCAGGGAAAGCAAACCCAGCAACCAGCTGCCACTGCAGTAAGAATCAACAGACATTAAGGAAGAGAAAGAATTTAAGTCTCCTTCCTCATTTCCCTGAAGGCGAATGGACAACTCCTCAACGACTGGAAGAAGTTCAGCTGTTTAATTAGTTTTAAGAGAGCTCTTTCACTCTGAACAACTCTCTCCCACCTGATTTCCTGCAAAGCTGTTTTCCTGAATCTGCAGGCACCCCGGGGCAGAGGAGCACAAAAAGCTTGGATTCTGGCTCTGTGTAGCCAAGTTCCTGCTGCCCAGCATACGCTACCACAGCCAGGCTCTGCACATGGTGCAGCTTCTCCTCACATCTGCTACAAGAAACTCCATCGCTACTCAGCCCAAAGCGCTCTGCAATATCAGCGCCCTTCTGCACCAACCACTCTGACATGCCTCTGCTATTCTTCCAGCTCTCAAAATCTATCTTGTCCCTGGGGCATACTCTTAAGCGGCTGGCCTCTTGGACTACTGACGAACAGCTGGAATTTCACTTTGCAAAGCTGCCACTCCACAGGCATTTGTTCCTGGAGACAACAGGGGACCGGAGCTTTTAAGCACAGTCTCCCCCTTATGGACAATAGAACAGCGGCTCAGCCATTGCTGGTTCACGCACCAGAATGGAACAGCTGAGCCCTGGCAATGTTTTATTTTTACACTAAGATTGCCTTGATTATTGGGATATCAGCCAGTACCTTTGGGGAGGAGTTTTAACGCTTGGAAAAGATTTGTGATGCACTGTGCTCTGCTGAGATCTTCATATCAATCACGAAAAAAAAAAAAAAATTAAAACCTTGTGTTTCGTATTCATGAAGCACTAGCATCTTCAAGACATCTGTAAAGCAACAGTGAAGTGTCAACTACAAGACAAAACACTGCAGTTCCCCAACTGGCCTATGATAGCGTGTACACATAAATATTTCCACCGCACAAAGCCCTCGCTGGGGCTGGCTGCGATTTGTCATACAAATTTCAGAGTGCTTTTGGGACACAACTCTCTAGGGACTGAGAGATGTCACTTCAGGAACACCGCCTTCTCTGACAGACCCACAGTTCAGCAGTCAACTAGCAAGAGGAGACACTCACTGGACAAGGGTAGGATGCTGAACTGGCATAAGGTGAAGCAATTGTTCAGGAATGGAAAAAACCTGGCTCGCAGAGGCTTGTCTTGAGGCTAATGCTTAGTGCTCTAGGGCAGGCCACAAGCAATCTCTACATTCTTTATTCCTCAGTCTCCCAGTGAGTCATTTACTCACTAGCCATGCCAGTGCTCTTGGAAAAACACACGTCTCCCATCAGAGCTTCACACAACTCTTCAGACAGCAAGCTACCCAGACACCACGAAGCCAGAAGCCATGTAGAGACACATATGAATTAACTTGTATTTTCCTCAGGATGAACAACCTAGGCCACTTGCATTTATGCATCTATTACGTATTTACTGCATTTATTTATTTATTTTGGAAAGAAGGGAATGACTGTAGGAAAAATACAAAGTGTTCCACCTTGACTTAGGAACCTAAGTGCCAATGCATCATTTATTTGTACTAGCTGTATTAATCTTGTTACCAGATAGTAAAAGTGGGTCCCATTGTAACAGATATTGCACAAGTACAGAGTGGTGGAAAGCCTCAGTCCCAGAGACCGATACATCAAGGACAGAAGAAACACAGAAAAAGAATACTGAGGGCAGAAGCACAGAGACAGGAAAAGGGAGACAAAAGGGCAGATATGATCAAGAAAAACAGAGGTGAAAAGACCGTAGGACAGAGATGAGCAGAGCAACAGCAACTGATCCCAGGGCAGTCTATTCTTGAGGCTGCAAAGATTGGCCAGTCCTGAAGTGACTGTTCTTAGCCCTTTTTCCCCTCAAAAACACATGAGCTGGAAGCTTAGGGTAAAACAGCTTCTGAGGATGGAGAGTTTGCTGACAGGAAAGGGGCTCCTGTGAAAACCAACGTGGCATGCATGACAGAAAAGATTTAATTGATTCCTCAGTTTAATTTGCCACCAGTTTTAACAACACACGTGAGAAGTGAAATGCACCAGCAACACAGATCTACCAGCCCCTTAATTCCTAGCATCTTGAAGCCCACGTACACCCACCATGGCAAGGAACACCACCTTGCCCACCCTAACCTCACAACAAGCTGGTCTGGGTCTGATGTGCAGGAAATGCAAAATCACTAGCTCAGGCAAGTAGCACTTCTTTAGCATGTTTTCTCTGACCTCCAAACTCTCTCCATCAGGTTATTGAAGATGAGCTGTCTCATACCTACTCCTACTTGACAGCAGCTATGTTTCTAGAGTCCCATAAGACAACACTGTCCTCTTGTCCTGAGCAGTCAAATTAAGCACTCTGGAGGTGCTGGCAGTAGGCTAAGAGACGAACAGAAAGGTTGCAAAGCTTATTATAGAAAAGAGAATGCTGAGCCATCATTTGCTGCATGAGCCTGGTCTTTGCACCTGCTTTGCAGGTCAGTATGCAGTGCCTGGCATAAACCATCCTTTGCATATTCAGACATTTCTTGTACAATAAAAGCAGCACTGAAAGCTCACTTCTCCCTACATCCCAGTACAGTGGAAAAAAGAAGCAGTAATCTGGTTAGTAGTTACCCCTTCTGAGGATATCAAGGGTGACTTTATGCCCAGTACACACATTCACCTTCTCAACTGAATGCTCGTGCCAGCACAGGGCACGGGGCAGCAGTGAGCACATCTCTGTCTCCACCAAGTAAAGCCAAATGATGGCACAGGCAGCCAGTTCACCTTCTCTCTGCAGCACAAACTGACAGTATCCAAGACGGACAAATACTCCAGCATGCACTAAGCTCGTAGTACCACGACGGAGGCGAGGAACAGGCAGAAGCAGGAAAAGGCATAGCTGACTTTTATCATATTCCACTTTATAAAGGTGCTTTACTACAAAAGGGAGACCTGAGATACAGTGGTTACTGTTCAGGAACAGGAATCTGTAGTGAAGAGTTTGTCTGTTTCTTGCTACAGCAGCTCCCTCTCGCAC